AGAATATACATTCTTCTCATCTGCACATGGTACCTACTCTAAATTGATCACATAATCAAATATTTTAAAAATCCTCAGAAAATTGAAAAAAAAGTGAAATTATACCATCCACACTTAGACAGCAGGATAGTAAAAATAGAAATCAATACTAAAAATTTCAATCATACAATTACATGGAAATTAAACAGACTGCTCCAGAATGACTTAGGGTAAATAATAAAATTAAAGCAGAAATCAAGAAATTCTATGCAACTAATAAGACCAAAGATACTGCATAAGAGAATATTTGGGACACACCTAAGTCAATATTATTAAAGTTTATAGTATTAGATGCCTACATCAGATAGTTCAAAAGATCTCAAATTAACAACCTAATCTTACAACTAGAGAAACTAAAGAAGCATGAGCAAATCAACCCCAAGTATATCAGAAAGCAAAAAATAATCAAAGTCTGAGCTGAACTGAATGAAATTGAGACATGTTTTGTGGCTTCTCATATGGGCTGATATGGTTTGGCTCTGTGTCCCCACCCAAATCTCATCTTGAATTTTATTCCCATAATTCCCATGTGTTGTGGGAGGGACATGGTGGGAGATAATTGAATCATGGGAATGGTTTCTTCCATACTGTTCTCATGGTAGTGAACACGTTTCATGAGATCTGATGGTTTTATAAGGAGAAACATATTTACTTGGTTCTCATTCTCTCTTGCCTCTACCATGTAAGAAGTGACTTTTGCCTTTCACCATGATTGTGAGGCCTCCCTAACCACGTGAAAGTTCAAGTCCATTAATCCTCCTTCTTTGGTAAATTGTCCAGTCTTAGGTATGTCTTTATCACCAGCATGAAAATGGACTAATGCATGGTCTATCTTAAGAGAATGTACCTTGTGCTGATGAGAAGAATGTAAATTCTACATTTATTGGGTAAAATATTCTGTAAATACTTTTAGGTCCATTTGTTCTAGAGTTCAGTTTAAGTCTAGTGTTTCTTTATTCAATTTCTGTGTTGATGCTCTGTCTAGTGCTGTCAGTGGAGTGTTGAAGACTCTCACTATGATTGTGTTACTATCTCTTTTCCTATGTCTACTAGTAATTGTTTTATGATTCTGGGAGCTTCAGAGTTAGATGCAGGTATATTTAGGAATGTAATATCTTCTTGTTGGATGTATCCTTTTATCATTATATTAATATAATGACCTTCTTTGTCTTTTTTTCACTGCTTTTGCTTTAGTCTGTTTTATCTGACACAAGAATTGCTACTCCTGCTTATGTTGTTTTTATTATTTGAAAAAACTATTGTGTGTTAGATTAATTAAGAATTTTTATAAATTGGCCAGGCATGGTGGTTCATGCCTATAACCCTAGCACTTTGGGAGTCCAAGACAGCCAGGTCTCTTGAGCCCAGGAGTTCAAGACCAGCCTAGGCAACATGGAAAAATCCTGTTTCTACTGAAAAATACAAAGATCAGCTAGGCATGGTGGCACACGCCTGTAGTCCCAGATACTGGAGGGTGGAGGGGCTTGGTGAGAGGATCACCTGAGCCTGGGAGGTCAAGGCTGCAGTGAGCCATGATCACACCACTACACTCCAGCCTGGGTGACAGAGTGAAATCCTGTAAAAATACAAACTAACTGACACACAAAAATAAGAAATTAAAAAAATTAATTTATCCTAATTTATTCCTCCTCTAGTATTCCTCATTTCATTACATATATCAAACTTTCCAACATATATCATTTTCTTTTTTTCTGAAGACGTTTCAATGTTTCTTGCAATACAGGTCTACTGGTATGGTAACAAATTACTTCAATTTTTGTTTGTCTGAGAAAGTTTTTATTTCTCCTTCACTTTTTAAGGGAAAATTTCCCGGAGACAGAATTCTATGTTTGTAGGGTTTTAAATTTTTTTTTTATTTTTAATTATTATGGGTGCATAGTAGGGGTATACATTTACAGTGTTTTCTTTTCCAATACTCGAAATATTTCATTCTACTTTCTTCCTGTTTGCCTGGTTTCTAAAAAGAAGTCCAGTGTAATTATTATCTTTGTTTCTGTGTGGAAATAAAAATGTCTTCTGTCTTTTTTCAAGATTTTCTTCTTGTCATTGGTTTTCTGCAGTTGGAACATAATATGGATATTTGCAGAGTTTGGTATTTATCTTCCTTAGTGTTTGCTGAACGATATATGGTTTGGTGTTTCTCGTTAATTTTGGAAAATTCTCAGTCATTGTTATTTCAAATATGCCTTGTGTTCTTTTATTTTTCTCTTCTCTTTGTCACACAGTTCTTAGATATTCCATTCTGTTATGTTATTTCACTCATCATTTCCCTTTTTCAGCTTGGGAAGTATGTGTTGAAATATCAAGCTAGCTGATTCTTTCCTTGGCTGTGTCTATTCTATAGATGATTTCATGTAAGATATTATTCATTTTGTTAAGAGTTCTTTTTTTTCTATTCCTAGCATTTTCTTTTTATATTTTTCTTAGGGTTTCTTAGGTTTTCTACCTCTCTGATTAAATATCTATGTTCTGTATGATGTCCATTTTTTCCATTCTCTTAGTATGCTAATTAGTTCTCAGTCTGATAATTCTAAAATATCAGCTATGACTGAATTTGGTTCTGTTTCTTGCTCTGTCTCTTCAGATTGTGTTTCTGGACTTTGTTTATGTTTGCTTTTTTTTTTTTAATTTAAAGCCAGAAATGATATATTAGGTAAAGGAGACTGAAGTAAATAGGCCTTTATTGATAGGTTTTATGCTGATCTGGCTGTGAGTTACACTATCGTAACTGCCAGCACTACCTGTGGCGTTAGTGTCTAAATTTTCCTCTAGTCTTATTTCTGTCCTCCTTATTTTTGCTTCTCCCTAGAGAACCTGTCATAAATAGGGTCTGAAAATTGCATTTCTTTAAGTTGTAATCCTCCTTCATTATACAGGAGCACTACTCTTTTTGATAGTTAAATGTGAGGAAAGAAACATTCTATATCTTACAATTAGGTCTTAGTCCCTTAGTGAGCCTGTATCCTTGGACTGTGACTTTCACAAGTGATTTTTAGCTCCAGTAAGTCTTTAGGTGAGACAGGAAGCTAAGGCTGCTGGAATTGTTCTGTTTCTTTCCCCTCACATAAAAGTTAGAGGGGGTGGAATATTAGTATATCCCTTTCCCCACGTCAGTTAGGCTCTAGCAAAACCAAATAGTTTAAGCTCTGGTAAAATAGTTTTCTTTGAGGACGGGCCTTTTTTAAGGAGAACAGAGCACTATGAACATATTTCAAAGTTGTTACTTTACTTTTACCCTTGCTAGAAATATGAGGGGAATTTTCTCAAATCTTCACCCTGAGAATCTGGTAGGGCTCCTAGAAATAAAACTCATGAAAATGTAGGGGCCCCATAAGACAGGACCCACATGAGTTTTTGTCTTTTGAGCTCGGTCTAGTGAGTCTGCTGCAATTACTCAATTACCCTTTAAATGCTTCGACCAGTGTCGAGCTGTGTCTCCTTCTCCTTATCAGCTGTGATTCTCTATCTCTGCCTTTCTGTCTAGTTTCCAGCATGGTGGGGCTCTGTGACCTCAAACCCTGATGGCATTAATAAGAGTTAGTGATTTTCAGATTGTTTATCTTTATTCTAGTTGCAAGGATGGGAGTAATGACTTCCAAGTCATTTATATGTCAGACTAAAGTCTTCTAAATTACCCTCTTTATAACCTGAATCTACCTTAATCAGTCTTTTTTTTCTAACTTTTCATAACATAATGTTTATAACTTTTCTGGCATTCATTTTATTTGCTTTTGCTTAATGTTTCATTTTGTACGAGACATTTTATGCTTGAGGTTATAACCACTTTTAAGTAACACACCGTAACTTATTTTTGTATGCTTAATAACTGATCAATTCCACTAAGATTTGGAACATCATATTAAAATGTCTCAGAATTCTTCTGTTGCCTTAATCCTAACATATAATGTGAGAATAAAAGTCTCAGGGAAGAGAGTAATAAAACCCTCTCCTGGATTATCCATTTGTAAGAAAAATAAAATATATACAAAAGTAATATACACAAGACTTGCTTTGTTACACAAACACTTGTGAGTCTTTGAAGTCTTTAAAACATCATCTAAATCTGAAATTTGTATGCACTAGCTGTAGTGTGATTGCTAAGTAATAATACTACTTGTGATATACACAGTACTTACTATATGCAATTTACTGTTAACATCTTTTACTTTGTGATTCTGAGATCCTACAGTAACCTTAAGTGAGTGCATTTGTATTCATAATCTATAGTTGTAGATAATGAGAGTAGGAAAGGTTAGGTGACTTCTCCAATATCTAACAATGATGTAGAATTCAAAACATGTGGCCGAGCACGGGGGCTCATACCTGTAATCTCAGCACTTTGGGAAGGCAGGCGGATCACCTGAGGTCAGGAGTTCAAGACCAGCCTGGCCAACATGGTAAAATTCCATCTCTACTAAAAATACAAAAAAATTTAGCTGGACATGGTGGCAACTCCCTGTAATCCCAGCTACTTTGGAGGCTGAGGCAGGAGAATTGCTTGAACCCAGGAGGCAAAGGCTGCCATGAGCCGAGATCATGCCATTGCACTTCAGCCTGGACAACAAGAGCAAAACTCAGTCTCAAAAAAAAATTAAAAGAAAAAAGAATTCAAAACAAGTGGAATGCAAACACCAGTTTATGTGACTTTTGCCAATATTTTAACTACTATGCTGCATAGCCTCCCATGTACCTCTACTCTATGTACCTCTACCTTCCACGTACCACCAATGTACCTTTACTTGTACTTAAGATTTAACCATTTAATATCAGAAGGGGAGGTAAAGAGGGAAGGTGAGTCCCTTTGTACCTCCCCTTCTGATATTAAATTGTTAAACCTTATTGAAGATAAATAGACTAAGCCCTGCCAGCCAAAGCTTTCTAGTAGGCCTTGAATAGTGTTTTATTCAACACACCCAGTTGTGGGAGGGCAGTATACATACTATTGGTTAGCAGGTGGTTCTGCTGCAGTGGATTGAGAGCTGGAGCACCCCCAACGCCTGTCTGGGCAGCTAGGGCTGGATGAGCAAGTCCGTGTTGGGGTCCAGGTGCAGCAAATGGAGACTGCATCTTATCCTTATCCCAGGAGGATTCACTTCCACCTGAAAAATATTCATATAAACAGATTTCAACTTGACAACTTTCCATGAGAAGGGTTTTTAAAATAAAAGGTAGTAATCATGAATACTACCTCTTAGAAAATTATTATTGAACACAGTTAACTCATTTTTATGACAGTTTCAAAAACTTTCAATAGTCTAGAGATGTAAGCTGCCTCTGGGAAGGCTAAATCATTCTTAATAATAGTATAGGCACTCTTGACTTGTTGGTAGTCTCAACAAATCTGGAATCATAATGAATAGCTTTTAGAAGCACTTACGTGTTGAGGGCCATTAATTGACCATCACTGCCTTGTATTCTAAACCTTTAACATACATATGCTATATTTAAAGAATAGTACTGATCACTGAAAAAGAACACACTCGTTTCATAAAAGCATGATAACATGCAAAAATACATGGTAAGAAACAGGATGGTCATTCATTTTCTTCTCAGATCACTCAGAGAAACAAATCTATTCATACACAGTAAGGTTTTGTGTAAAATAATGTGAAAAAAAATAGAAAACTGTGGCTTCCAACTTGAAATTATACTTACCTTGATCCTTCATGCTAGAGAGTGGGATAAAGTGTGTATAAATGCAGAATACTATATTATTATGATCTATAGTGGCATAGCTATTTCATCTTGTATCTAGCGTACTGTGGGGGAGAGAAGCATTGCTTAAAACCATATGGAAAACAAACACAGAATAACTTCCAGGACATTCTTCCAGGAGAATACTTTAAATAAGGGAGTAAAGGGTGGGATTCCAATCACTGCAGAAGCAGATAGTCTGGCTTTAGAAAACGAAACGGTTGTGTAGGCAGCTCCATCTATTTGCTTGATGTGCTTCAGTCATTCAGGGGTCAGTGGTTCTGCCTCCATTCCCATGCTGGGACTGCGACATTAGCATCTCTACCTGGCTGACACCATCCCACTTTCTGCCTAAAACTCTGACCCTGTTTTGTGTGGGGTTTAGAGCTGAGACTCTTGGGCACTCTGTAAAAATAGGTATATTTATTGTTTTTTTAAAGGTAGAAAAATCAACATATTCATATTCACAGCATTTAATATTGTGATTATTTTCAATATTCACAATACTATTTGTGATTTTTTTTCTTTCTTTTTTTTTTTTGGAGATAGAGTCTTGCTCTTGCTCTGTTGCCCAGGCTGGAGTGCAGTGGCGCGATCTCGTCCCACCCACGGCAATCTCTGCCTCCCTGGTTCAAGCAATTCTCCTGCCTCGGCCTTCCATGTAGCTGAGACTACAGGCACACTTCAACGTGGCTGGCTAATTTTCTGTATTTTTAGCAGAGACAGGGTTTCACCGTGTTAGCAAACATGTTTATACTTCTATTTCAAAAACCACATTTGCAAAAAAGTTTTGAGAGTTGTAAACTTTTCAGGGAAATGTCTTCAGGCCCAATTGGTATTCCTTTTCAAGATTTAAAATGTATTCAAGCAAATGGCCTGCTAGAATCTCTGAAAGGATTGTTTAACCCTCCTATCCACACATCAGCTCTTACCCCAGTCCTGAAGAGGAAGACTCTTAACTCCAGTCCTCCCTTTCAGCACTCTTTCAAGCCCTTTTGTGGCTGAAGTGAATCTCTAATCCAAAAGTGGGAGTCTTGACTAGCCTCCAACTAGATGTGGTAAGGAAACACCAGATTCTAGCACAGTATATGTAAAGATTGAAAGATATCTGGCCTTGCCTATATAAACAAAAATTTTATAATCAAATGAGGGAAGAAATAAGCAGTTACTAGTTGGGGTCCTGCTCTAAGCCATTCAGATAAGATGCATGAAAGCTTAGTAGGTAGGAAATATGGTTGAATTTGATAGACTGGCTTAATGGACCAGAAATCATCCCCTTGGTCATGCCGAGGTCTGCTGTGTTCATTGAGAACATGCAGTACTTCTATGATTACCCCTTGTTCTCTCTTTTCATCCAGATGTTGATTGTTGTAAAGCATGTGCTTAAGAGCAGGGAGGTAATTTATGGTTTGGTGCATTGACGTATTTTAGTGTTAACGAATTTGAAATTTAAATTAAAATCAATAAGTCATTGTTATGCTGTAATGAAGAGGGATGGTGGGGGGAAGGGAATATCTTAATAAACTATGAAAGTAACCACTGCAAAACTGAGAATTCTTTATACTAACATTAGGCCAATAAACATGATTAATATGAGAAAACGCAAATACTTAAAAGATCAATTGCTGAGCAAAAATGGAAGCACTCCATCATTTTAGCACTATGTTCAAGATATGAATTACCTCACCATAGCAGAACGGTAATTTATAAAATGAGCAAAATATTGACAAAGGAAGATACATTTAGAAGACATTAAATGACACCATATGATAATAATATAGTATTGCACTATCACAGCAGCAATAGCAACACAGCAATATTAGAGCTATTATATCAATATTTTATAAATTGAAAACTGTTTAGTCTACATTCAATATTAAATGATACATTAGGTATTATTCTCATGGTTTTGTATCACATTATCCAAATAAGCTTGAATAGAAATGTTTTTAAACTCACCTCAGAAGATTTCAATGTGGTTTTGTGTATGCGCTAATGAAAGCTTTGGATACACTTTTTCCAACAGCTCCCACCTTTGTTAACTACTGTGTTAATAATAGAAAAGGCAGTTTCCATCTCTTCCCACCTCCACCAAATGTGGATGTAATTATTATCCTGTACTGTAAAAGCAACTGCATATGAATTGGAGTGGCTGAGGAGTGTGGAACATTCTTGATATTTGGATTAGGAGGTATTAATGCTCTGAACACATTTTTGTCTTTTGACCTAAATTTCTTATCATTTTTAAATGTAAAAATTAATCATTACTCAATCTAGAATGTTCAGTTGCCCTGATATTTGCATTTTCTTATGCCCCTTTGTCAAGATACAATAATACCCATTGCCCTCAAAGCTAACAAAGTATTTTGACTAATCTAAGCTACAGTAAGCCTTTTATTAAGCACTATGTTGAAAGCTTGGGTATCCACCTTCCTTGTCCTCTCTATCTAGCAGTCTGTCTACCTCCAAATGCAGTAGTTAGCTTAGGCTGAGATAAATACCACAGAAAGAATAGCTTAAACAACCAAAATTTAGTTTCTCACAGTTTTGGAGGTCACAAATTCAAGATCATGGTTTTGGCAGATTTAGTTTCTCCTGAGGCCTCTCTCTATGGTTTGCAGATGACTGTGTTTCCTCTGTGTCCTCACATGCTCTTTCCTCTATGCAAGTTCATCCTTGGTATCTTTTTTCTGCCCAGTTTTCCTCTTCTTATAAGCAGGTTAGATTAGAATCCACTCTAGGCCTTATTTATTTACTAATTTTTTTTTTTTCATTCTGTGGGTATAGAACAGGTATATATATTTGTGGAGTACCTGACATGTTTTAATACAGGCATGCAATGTGAAATAAGTACATCAAGGAAAATGAGGTATTCATTCCCTCAAGTATTTATCCTTTGAGTTACAAACAATCCAGTTACATACTTTATATTAAAATACACTGCACGTTCTCACTCATAGGTGGGTGTTGACCAATGAGAACACATGGACACAGGGAGGGGAGCATCACACACTGGGGTCTGTGGGGGGGGAAATATGGGAGGGACAGCAGGGGGTGGGGAATTCGGGAGAGATAGCATGGGGAGAAATGCCAGATATAGGTGATGGGGAGGAAGGCAGCAAATCACGCTGCCACGTGTGTACCTATGCAACAATCTTGCATGTTCTTCACATGTACCCCAAAACCTAAAATGCAATTAAAAAAATAAAAAATAAAAATAAAATAAAATGAAAAAAAATAAAATAAAATACACTTAATCACCTCCTTAAAGGCCTTATCTCCAAATACAGTCACATTTCAAAGTAACTCAGGGTTAGGGCTTCAATATCTAAATTTTAGGGGTACCTAATTCAGCCCCTAACACTAAAGTATGTGCATTTGTCAGAACCAGACCATACTAGCTTTGTGAGGGAATTCCTCCAGTAAAGAGGAGAGAAACTAGATATAATTCTGAGGCTGGCAGGGTAAGCAGTGGGTTTGGGAAAATAATCTCTTAAGTCTTCATGAAATTTTGTATTAAGTGTAAACATAACCCAACACAGTCCTAAGTTTGTAAAGATAACGTAGAAAATGCACCAAATCCTCATGAACTGAACAATTTATTTGAGCTTTTCCATATCAACTACTTATCACTATTTTAACACAATATTTAGTAAAATTAAATAGATGGCAATAAACAGTGTAACACAATAAACAGTATTACAAGCAACTATTGCTACATTAATACTAATTTAACCCTAACTTTACCAATAAGAAAGCTACAGAGAACTACATTTTCATAAGCCCTTACTTAGTAGAAATATATATTCTCAGTTAGAATCAGTGTAAGAACAATAAAGTGATTTGCCATGGGGAAACATTAATTTAACAAAGCGTCTGACAAACTTCTATTGCTTTAATCAGAATCTCTTTAGTTTGCAATTTAGACCTTTAAAAAAATCCTATTGTAATATTTTAGGGTTCCCAGAAGATTGTTTTTGTTGCTTTTTCTTTGAAAGATAAGTGGGTAGATGACAGATACCTATGAATCATGGGGACCTTACAATAGAAACATGGAATTTAAGGCATAGAAAGGACCTTTTTATCCATTTAGTTAAAAATAATAATTTGAAAAAAGAGCAGGAACATAATATGCGTGGGACTCAAAGCAGTATTTTAATGTTTTAATTTGTTAAAATTTTGTCTAACTAGCACTCTCACAATTCCCATTCTAATAACAGAATGCTTATTATCGTCAGGTTTGTGAAAAGCAATAGAAAAGATCATTATGATGTGTTCAAACCAAATTAGCATAAGCCTAAAACCCAAAACACCAAAACACCTAAATGTTTCAAATGGATATAAAGCAATCCCAGCAGTAAGGCACTAAATAAAAATTCCAAGCAATCATTCTTAACCTTAGCAC